CCCGTGTGGGAACCCTAGGCCGTGCACTCCATTTTGTCTGGCTCCTTCCATTGGGCATAACTATTCTGAGATTCGCCCGTGCTGTGGCATGTGCCAACGGTCCGGTCTTTTTTATTGCTGCATCCTACTTCAATGTATGGATATACCACGACCTGCTCACCTGCTCACCAACTGGTAGCAAGCGGGCTGTTGTCGAGTTGCGTCCTATCCTATATAATAAAAGGCTAATATGCAAATGGCCCAAACAACAGAACGACCAGTCACTATGATGTGCACTGACCACCAGGGGGCAGACGCTCAATGCAGGTGCTGCCCCCTGGTGGTCAGTGTGCTCCCACAGCCAACCTCCCCTGGCCGGCCAACCTCCCACGGTCCCTCCCCTGGCCGGCCAGCCAACCTCCTGTGGTCCTTCCTCCCCCACCCGCCCGGACTGGGCGAGACGGCCCTGATCGGCCCCCATCATTGGCCAGCCCGAGAGACCCCACCTGTGCACGAATTCGTGCACTGGGCCTCTAGTTACAAACAAAGTGACTACGAACAACCGTGTTCAGGATGTTGCGTCAGCCTGAGTTTTCATTTCTCCTGAGAGGGGACGGGCTCAATTATAAGATCCGTTTGCATTTGCCTCAAGAGCCGCCAGACTGTTCTCCGAAGTGGTGGCAGCATCTCCCCCTTCCCCTCTCACCCCGAGCGCGCCAGTCCCTCCACGTCCTCGCCAACACTCGCTGTGCTCGGGCTGTTCTATGGTAGACGTCTCACCGTGTGCGGTGGTTTTAATTCCTATTTCCCTCGTGACTGAGGACGCTCGGCATCTCTGCACGGGCTTGCTTAGCTTTTGCATATTTTCTCTGATGAAGCACCCGTTCCAATTGCTTGCCCGTTTGTAAGTGCTGTTTCTTTTCTTGCCATTAAATTCCGTGTATTCTTTATATATTCTGGATACACGTCCTTCATCAGATATATGATTCGCCAATAAGGTTTACGTAGTCTCTGGCTTGTCTTTTCATTATCTGACAGCCTTTCCAAAACCAGACATCTTTCCCTATCATAAAATCCAACTTGCCAACCTTCTCTGTACGGCTCTGCTCCTGGTGTCTTACTCAAGAAATCCCTGCCTAACCGAAGGTCCCAAAACTGCACCGATGCTTTCTTCTAGATCTCTTCGTTTTAAGCTTTCTATTTAGGTGTAGGGTCTATCTTTACTTTTGTAATGGTTAATGGTTAGAGTACTTTTAAATCTTGTTTCATGTGTCATTATTTTTGTCTATTTGCTATTAATTTCTAACTTTATTGCATTTGAATCAGAAAACATTACACATGGTCATGTGTGTAAAGATTTCATGTGTATTTCAAAAGAACATGGTTTTCTGTGTGAGTATAAAATAACATAATTATCAGCGAGATCAATTTGTTAACTGGCTGTTGAAGTCCTTTATATATTTTCATTTATTTGATCTGTTGTCTTCTGAGAAAAGTATAGCTAAATTTTCTACTAATTACGGATCTGTTGATATTTTCTTACATTTTCCTGTTGTAGCTTTATGTAGTTCAGAATTACGTAGTTAAATATGTAAAAGTTTATAATTATTCAGTTACTTTAGTATATCAATATGAAATCCTTTATTCTAGTTAATATTATTTGCTTTGAATTTCATTTCATCTGCTATTAATACAGGGTAGGACAAAAGTAGGTTTACAGTTGTGAGTATGTGAAACAGAGTTTATTCTTGTATTATTTATTAACTAGAGGCCTGGTGCACGAAATTCATGCATGGGGGGGGGGTGTCCCTCCGCCCAGCCTGCACCCTCTCACAATCCGGGAACCCCCTCGGGGGATGTCCAACTGCCGATTTAGGCCTGATCTGGCAGTCGGACATCCCTCTTGCAATCTGGGACCGCTGGCTCGTAACCGCTCACCTGCCTGATCGCCCCTAACCACATACCTGCCTGCCTGATCGCCCCTAACCACGCACCTGCCTGCCTGATTGCCCCTAACCACTCGCCTGCCTGCCTGATCACCCCTAACTGCCTCTGCCTC